TCAAGAATAAATATCCTTTGCCAAGGATTGATGATTTGTTTGATCAGTTACAAGGGGCTTGTGTCTTTTCCAAAATTGATCTTAGATCGGGCTATTATCAATTAAAGGTTAAACCCGAGGATGTGATGAAGACTGCTTTTAGGAGCAGATATGGGCACTACGAGTTCTTAGTAATGCCATTTGGTTTAACCAATGCCCCTGCAACTTTTATGGATCTTATGAATAGGATCTTTCAGCTGTACTTAGATAAGTTTGTCATTGTCTTCATTGATGACATTCTTATCTTTTCTCCTGATGAAGAGAGCCACAAGGAGCATCTGGCCATTGTATTGCAGATTTTGCGAGAAAAGAAATTATATGCCAAGTTTGATAAGTGTGAGTTTTGGCTGAATCAGATTAGCTTTCTAGGTCATATTGTTTCGAAGGATGGCATATCAGTTGATCCTAGTAAAGTGGAAGCAGTTGTGAAGTGGGAAAGGCCGACTAGTGTCACCGAAGTGCGGAGTTTTCTTGGACTAGCAGGATATTATCGAAGGTTTGTGGAGGGATATTCAAAGATTTCTGGTCCGTTAACACAACTTACTCGTAAGAATCAGAAGTTTGAATGGACAGATAAATGTGAGCAAAGCTTTCAAGAGTTGAAGAACAGATTGGTCACTGCACCAATTCTTGCTATTCCCGATAATGGAGGAAACTTTGTGGTATATACCGATGCTTCTCACAAAGGCTTGGGTTGTGTACTTATGCAACATGGACGGGTGATAGCTTATGGGTCTAGACAGCTCAAGACACATGAGAGGAATTACCCTACACATGATTTAGAACTTGCTGCCATAATTTTTGCACTTAAGTTGTGGAGGCACTATTTGTATGGAGAAGAGTTTGAGGTGCACACTGATCACCAAAGCTTGAAATATTTATTTTCACAAAAAGAGCTTAATTTGAGACAAAGAAGATGGATGGAGTATTTGAATGACTATAGATGCAAAATTGTCTATCAACCTGGAAAGGGAAATGTGGTTACAGATGCACTCAGCAGAAAATCGACTGGCACTTTAGCAAGCTTAATGGTGATGGAGTGGAAACTCCTAGAAGAATTCAAGAATTTGAATGTCAGGTTTTTGCCACCAAAATCTGATGTACTAGTGTCTAGTCTGATGGTTCAACCTACACTGCTGTCAAAGATCAAGGAAGCACAACAGAAAGATTCAAGATTAATGGAATGGATGAAGGACAGTGGAAAAAGCTCCAAAATGGGTCTTCATATTTCGGATGATGGAATCATAAGACTTGGAGATAGAATTTGTGTTCCATATGATGAAGGGTTGAGGACGGAATTGCTCCAAGAAGCACACAAGT